ATCGTCGGTAGTGCTAAAGCTTTTACAGCTCTTGGATCTTTCGCAAGAGCTAAAAGTAGCTCATTGTCATCAAGATCTACCAAATAACATCAAAAGTTAGAAATAAAGAATTCAAATCAAATAAACTTTACCTTTGTCTCCAGAAATGGATTCCTGCTGCTCGCCATGCTCCGGCACAAGCTCTGGCACAGTCTTGTGCACAATCTCGTGTTGCTTGTCGTGTCCACTTGAAACAAAGAGAAAACTAAATTGAAAGAAAAAAGGAAAGAAAGAATTTTCTTACCTTACTGCTCTTCAATCACGTCCAGAACTTGGTGGTGATTCAGTTCCTGTTCGTGGATCTCTTCTCTTGGAGAAGGTTGTTGCTGCCCAAAACCACCTAAAATCGAGAAAAGAGAAAAGTCCATTATAAAGATTATAAAGTTTCTTACCAAAATTTTGTTGTTGCTGCTCACGATTTTGAGTCTGTTGATTGTCATTTCCACCTAAATTGAAGAGTGTTAAACCTCCACAAAAAAAAAAGCTTTGAATTACCAAAAGAAACAAGATGGCAATCTTGAAGATCCAATAGATCTTCATTTAAAGGTTTACCAGCCTCATAGCACCGTACAATATACTCCGATGCTTTCTGAAATTTGTCTTGGTAGTTTTTCAAACGACCAGTATGATCATACCAGTTATACAGAATAGATGACATTGCCATTCTCCTTGCTTTCCCAGAGTGATCGTACCTGTTAAAAAAAGAGGCATTAATGACAAAATGGTTAGCAAAAACCTTACTGTTCCATGTTTTCCACCCTCTTGTGTCCCATCAGCTTCATATAGTCTTTCATTGGAGTGTTGCAAACACTCATAGTTGTAATTGCTGAATGCCGAATATCTTTCGCTGAAAGGCTCAAACCTGGAGAAAAAAAACTATGAGAAAACAAGAAAGCAGTTAGTTAATTACCTGTTTTTTTGGCAACCAATTTTACTACTTCAGAGATCTTATGCTCTCCTATCCGTGCCACTCGACAGTACCAATTATCAGTCCTGTTGAAACAGTCGTTACAAGCCAGGAAAAACGGCCGCTTGTTCAAGTCCTCCCCATCACCAACTGTTGGATGCTTATCAAAAAAAAGCTTGAATGCCTTGTAGACTGAGGGAGCAGCTATTTCATAGAGATCCACAGCAGGCTGCTGATCCATGTTCTTACAATTCATCAGATCCACTTCGTAGTTTTTGGAAACACGTTGGTTGAATTTGAGATAAAAAAAATTCTGATTAGAACCAATAAGAACAAAGAAAACAAATAAGAAACTACTCAATTGAATATAGCAACCAACAACATCTTCCAAAAGTGTAAAATCAGTGAATCGCAAGTCGTACAATTCCTTCCTCCCATGTACAAGAAAGAAATTCATGCAGAATAGTAAGACTAACCGAAACAGTCCATTAGGACTGTTAGGTAGAAACTCTGGCAATGTGAGAACTGCCTTAAGCTCAGCCATCCACAAGTACACATGCTTTGACCCTGTACTTGTTGGCCTTGTAGTTTCTAGTGTTGCTTTTCAAATTACATGGCTAGCAGCGTTCCTAGAATAAACAAACCAAACCAAACATATTAGAACACAAACCACAACAAAAAGAACAAAAAAAGCAAGATACCTTGCTGTAAGAAACCTTGGATCATTCAGGATGTCAACTTCTTCTTCCAAAACTCCTGTTCTTGCAACTCAGGCTTCTCTTGCCAGCTTCAATACTCGGTTAAAGCAAAAAAACATATCCCTTAGAGTTGTTGGAGGGTAAGGCTTCCCATCGTCTCTCAAAACATGCTTGTAGAACAATGCAAGCTGGTGGGAAAGCTCCTACAGTCAGAGAAAGATGTAGTCACAAAAATCAAAAGAAAAAATAAGAAACAACCTTTGCAGGAAGTTCCTCAATCAGTCTCAGATCCTGTAAGGAAAATTCTGGGCCCTGTGCCTCGTGCCATGCATAAAACTTCTATGTTGCCTACTCATTCTTCTTTCGGGTCCCTGCTGGTATAACTAGTTTCATGGATTCTCGTCCTCCTCATTCGGAACAATTGGTCGAAAAGGTTGGCGGCCAACCTGCATCAACAAACAATTTCAACCTGGAGTATCTAAGCAAAAAGCACTTACCTCTCTCCGACCACGCCCACCACGCCCACCACGCCCACTGCGATTCCTCCCAGGACAAACCTATCAAACTCAAACGATTGCAAGTGAGTAAACAAGAATACATAAAAACTAGAGAACCGAATTCAAGAAAGGAGCTGCGTTCTCAACAAGATCAGCGGCATTCTGGGACAATCCCAGATCAAATGAAGGAGGATCCATCTACAGATAGACAAAATCGAGAGGATTGAGAAGGAAAAACTATGAAATCCAGAGAAAACCAGGAAATGAGGGCAAACCAGGATTATCAGCTCTCAAGCTGCTCTCGACGCATACAAGCTCCTGCTGCCTTGAGCGCCACAAGAAACTGCTGCAAAATTCCTGAAACACACGGACAAGGAGCAGATCTGGATCAATCTAGTTGCTATGCCTCAGATCTGACCTTGGCAAGCTGCTGCTGCCCTGCCGCTGCTGCTGACGCCTTGCCGCTACTGCTTTGTCGCTGCCATTGCCGCTTCTGAGAGAATCCGACAGCCTCACGGCGTCGGCACAAAAAACCCTAAAACCCTAGAAAACATGTTATATGTGACTTTTAGCCACGTGTTCTATGTTCATTCGACCGCTCTCATCCTCGAATAACGTTATTCCATGTGTCCGTTAACGGTCTCGCCACAGCTTGTTAAGGCTGTTCCCGGGCACGGGCTTGCACGTTCCCTCCAGAACGCGCTTGCCGGGCTAACGCCCGGCTCGCCCGTTCTAGGCGGGAACGTGCTCGCCCTACTTAGGAACTCCTTCTTAACGGGCTGTGGCTCGCCCGTTAACTTGATCCAGCCGTTGGCAGCCGTCGGATCAAGTCAAGCTCTCTACGAGAATTTTACTGTTGTCAGCCACATTCTGGAGAACGTGGTTGACAGCTACCAAATTCTCGAGAACCCACCTGCCAGCCGCCAGGTTCTGGAGAACGTGGCTGCTGTCATCCAGGTTCTAGAGAACTTGGCTGCCAGTAACCACGTTCTCCAATCAGACGAGATGCAATTGCTTTTTTATTTTTTAATCAAAGCAAGCTTGAATAATTCAAGCTCACTTTGGCTATGACCATTGACTACAATCACATAATTACTCACAGAACAGTGGTGAAATGTGCTAGTGATCGTTGGTAGTGCTAAAGCTTTTACAGCTCTTGGATCTTTCGCAAGAGCTAAAAGTAGCTCATTGTCATCAAGATCTACCAAATAACATCAAAAGTTAGAAATAAAGAATTCAAATCAAATAAACTTTAACTTTGTCTCTAGAAATGGATTCCTGCTGCTCGCCATGCTCCAGCATAGGCTCTGGCATAGTCTCGTGCACAGTCTCGTGTTGCTTGTCGTGTCCACCTGAAACGAAGAAAAAACTAAATTGAAAGACAAAAGGAAAGAAAGAATTTTCTTACCTTACTGCTCTTCAATCACGTCCAGAACTTGGTGGTGATTCAGTTCCTTTTCGTGGATCTCTTCTCTTGGAGAAGGCTGTTGCTGCCCAGAACCACCTAAAATCGAGAAAAGAGAAAAGTCCATTATAAAGATTATAAAGTTTCTTACCAAAATTTTGTTGTTGCTGCTCACGATTTTGAGTCTGTTGATTGTCATTTCCACCTGAATTGAAGAGTGTTAAACCTCCACAAAAAAAAAAAGCTTTGAATTACCAAAAGAAACAAGATGGCAATCTGGAAGATCCAATGGATCTTCATTTAAAGGTTTACCAGCCTCATAGCACCATACAATATACTCCGATGCTTTCCGAAATTTGTCTTGGTAGTTTTTCAAACGACCAGTATGATCATACCGGTTATACAGAATAGATGACATTGCCATTCTCCTTGCTTTCCCAGAGTGATCGTACCTGTTAAAAAAAGAGGCATTAATGACAAAATGGTTAGCAAAAACCTTACTGTTCCATGTTTTCCACCCTCTTGTGTCCCATCAGCTTCATATAGTCTTTCATTGGAGTGTTGCAAACACTCATAGTTGTAATTGCTGAATGCCGAATATCTTTCGCTGAAAGGCTCAAACCTGGAGAAAAAAAACTATGAGAAAACAAGAAAGCAGTTAGTTAATTACCTGTTTTTTCGGCAACCAATTTTACTACTTCAGAGATCTTATGCTCTCCTATCCGTGCCACTCGACAGTACCAATTATCAGTCCTGTTGAAACAGTCGTTACAAGCCAGGAAAAACGGTCGCTTGTTCAAGCCCCCCCATCACCAACTGCTGGATGCTTATTAGAAAAAAGCTTGAATGCCTTGTAGACTAAGGGAGCAGCTATTTCATAGAGATCCACAGCAGGCTGCTGATCCATGTTCTTACAATTCATCAGATCCACTTCGTAGTTTTTGGAAACACGTTGGTTGAATTTGAGACAAAAAAAATTCTGATTAGAACCAATAAGAACAAAGAAAAAAAAAAAGAAACTACTCAACTGAATATAGCAACCAACAACATCTTCCAAAAGTGTAAAATCAGTGAATCGCCTGTCGTACAATTCCTTCCTCCCATGTACAAGAAAGAAATTCATGCAGAATAGTAAGACTAACCGAAACAGTCCATTAGGACTGTTAGGTAGAAACTCTGGCAATGTGAGAACTGCCTTAAGCTCAGCCATCCACAAGTACACATGCTTTGACCCTGTACTTGTTGGCCTTGTAGTTTCTAGTGTTGCTTTTCAAATTACATGGCTAGCAGCGTTCCTAGAATAAACAAACCAAACCAAACATATTAGAACACAAACCACAACAAAAAGAACAAAAAAAGCAAGATACCTTGCTGTAAGAAACCTTGGATCATTCAGGATGTCAACTTCTTCTTCCAAAACTCCTGTTCTTGCAACTCAGGCTTCTCTTGCCAGCTTCAATACTCGGTTAAAGCAAAAAAACATATCCCTTAGAGTTGTTGGAGGGTAAGGCTTCCCATCGTCTCTCAAAACATGCTTGTAGAACAATGCAAGCTGGTGGGAAAGCTCCTACAGTCAGAGAAAGATGTAGTCACAAAAATCAAAAGAAAAAATAAGAAACAACCTTTGCAGGAAGTTCCTCAATCAGTCTCAGATCTTGTAAGGACAATTCTGGGCCCTGTGCCTCGTGCCATGCATAAAACTTCAATGTTGCCTACTCATTCTTCTTTCGGGTCCCTGCTGGTATAACCAGTTTCAATGGATTCTCGTCCTCCTCATTCGGAACAATTGGTCGAAAAGGTTGGCGGCCAACCTGCATCAACAAACAATTTCAACATGGAGTATCTAAGCAAAAAGCACTTACCTCTCTCCGACCACGCCGACCACGCCCACCACGCCCACTGCGATTCCTCCCAGGACAAACCTATCAAACTCAAACGATTGCAAGTGAGTAAACAAGAATACATAAAAACTAGAGAACCGAATTCAAGAAAGGAGCTGCGTTCTCAACAAGATCAGCGGCATTCTGGGACAATCCCAGATCAAATGAAGGAGGATCCATCTACAGATAGACAAAATCGAGAGGATTGAGAAGGAAAAACTATGAAATCCAGAGAAAACCAAGAAATGAGGGCAAACCAGGATTATCAGCTCTCAAGCTGCTCTCGACGCACACAAGCTCCTGCTGCCTTGAGCGCCACAAGAAACTATTGCAAAATTCCTGAAACACACGGACAAGGAGCAGATCTGGATCAATCTAGCTGCTATGCCTCAGATCTGACCTTGGCAAGCTGCTGCTGCCCTGCCGCTGCTGCTGACGCCTTGCCGCTACTGCTTTGCCGCTGCCACTGCCACTTCTGAGAGAATCCGACAGCCTCACGACGTCGGCACAAAAACCCTTAAAACCTAGAAAACATGTTATATATGACTTTTAGCCACGTGTTCTATGTTCATTCGACCGCTCTCATCCTCGAATAACGTTATTCCATGTGTCCGTTAACAGTCTTGCCACAGCCTGTTAAGGCCGTTCCCGGGCACGGGCTTGCACGTTCCCTCCAGAACGCACTCGTCGGGCTAACGCCCGGCTCGCCCGTTCTGGGCGGGAACGTGCTCGCCCTACCCGGGAACTCCTTCTTAACGGGCTGTGGCTCGCCCGTTAACTTCATCCAGCCGTTGGTAGCTGTCGGATCAAGTCAAGCTCTCTGCGAGAATTTTACTATTGTCAGCCACATTCTGGAGAACGTGGCTGACAGCTACCAGATTCTAGAGAACCCACCTGCCAGCTGCCAGGTTCTGGAGAACCTGGCTGCTGTCATCCAGGTTCTAGAGAACTTGGCTGCCAGTAACCACGTTCTCCAATCAGACGAGATGCAATTGCTTTTTTATTTTTTAATCAAAGCAAGCTTGAATAATTCAAGCTCACTTTGGCTATGACCATTGACTACAATCACATAATTACTCACAGAACAGTGGTGAAATGTGCTAGTGATCGTCGGTAGTGCTAAAGCTTTTGCAGCTCTTGCATCTTTCACAAGAGCTAAAAGTAGCTCATTGTCGTCAAGATCTACCAAATAACATCAAAAGTTAGAAATAAAGAATTCAAATCAAATAAACTTTACCTTTGTCTCCAGAAATGGATTCCTACTGCTCGCCATGCTCCGGCACAAGCTCTGGCACAGTCTCGTGCACAGTCTCATGTTGCTTGTCGTGTCCACTTGAAACAAAGAGAAAACTAAATTGAAAGAAAAAAGGAAAGAAAGAATTTTCTTACCTTACTGCTCTTCAATCACATCCAGAACTTGGTGGTGATTCAGTTCCTGTTCGTGGATCTCTTCTCTTGGAGAAGGCTGTTGCTGCCCAGAACCACATAAAATCGAGAAAAGAGAAAAGTCCATTATAAAGATTATAAAGTTTCTTACCAAAATTTTGTTGTTGCTGCTCACGATTTTGAGTCTGTTGATTGTCATTTCCACCTAAATTGAAGAGTGTTAAACCTCCACAAAAAAAAAAAGCTTTGAATTACCAAAAGAAACAAGATGGCAATCTTGAAGATCCAATGGATCTTCATTTAAAGGTTTACCAGCCTCATAGCACCATACAATATACTCCGATGCTTTCCGAAATTTGTCCTGGTAGTTTTTCAAACGACCAGTACGATCATACCGGTTATACAGAATAGATGACATCGCCATTCTCCTTGCTTTCCCAGAGTGATCGTACCTGTTAAAAAAAGAGGCATTAATGACAAAATGGTTAGCAAAAACCTTATTGTTCCATGTTTTCCACCCTCTTGTGTCCCATCAGCTTCATATAGTCTTTCATTGGAGTGTTGCAAACACTCATAGTTGTAATTGCTAAATGCCGAATATCTTTCGCTGAAAGGCTCAAACCTGGAGAAAAAAAACTATGAGAAAACAAGAAAGCAATTAGTTAACTACCTGTTTTTTCGGCAACCAATTTTACTACTTCAGAGATCTTATGCTCTCCTATCCGTGCCACTCGACAGTACCAATTATCAGTCCTGTTGAAACAGTCGTTACAAGCCAGGAAAAACGGTCGCTTGTTCAAGCCCCCCCATCACCAACTGCTGGATGCTTATTAGAAAAAAGCTTGAATGACTTGTAGACTAAGGGAGCAGCTATTTCATAGAGATCCACAGCAGGCTGCTGATCCATGTTCTTACAATTCATCAGATCCACTTCGTAGTTTTTGGAAACACGTTGGTTGAATTTGAGACAAAAAAAATTCTGATTAGAACCGACAAGAACAAAGAAAACAAATAAGAAACTACTCAACTGGATATAGCAACCAACAACATCTTCCAAAAGTGTAAAATCAGTGAATCGCAAGTCATACAATTCCTTCCTCCCACGTACAAGAAAGAAATTCATGCAGAATAGTACAACTAACCAAAACAGTCCATTAGGACTGTTAGGTAGAAACTCTGGCAACGTGAGAATTGCCTTAAGCTCAGCCATCGACAAGTACACATGCTTTGACCCTGTACTTGTTGGCCTTGTAGTTTCTAGTGCTGCTTTTCGAATTACATGGCTAGCAGTGTTCCTAGAATAAACAAACCAAACCAAACATATTAGAACACAAACCACAACAAAAAGAACAAAAAAGGCAAGATACCTTGCTGTAAGAAACCTTGGATCATTCAGGATGTCAACTTCTTCTTCCAAAACTCCTGTTCTTGCAACTCAGGCTTCTCTTGCCAGCTTCAATACTCGGTTAAAGCAAAAAAACATATCCCTCAGAGTTGTTGGAGGGTAAGGCTTCCCATCGTCGCTCAAAACATGCTTGTAGAACAATGCAAGCTGGTGGGAAAGCTCCTACAGTTAGAGAAAGATTTAGTCATAAAAATCAAAAGAAAAAATAAGAAACAACCTTTGCAGGAATTTCCTCAATCAGTCTCAAATCCTGTAAGGTAAATTCTGGGCCCTGTGCCTCGTGCCATGCATAAAACTTCGATGTTGCCTACTCATTCTTCTTTCGGGTCCCTGTTGGTATAACCAGTTTCAATGGATTCTCGTCCTCCTCATTCGGAACAATTGGTCAAAAAGGTTGGCGGCCAACCTGCATCAACAAACAATTTCAACATGGAGTATCTAAGCAAAAAGCACTTACCTCTCTCCGACCATGCCGACCACGCCCACCACGCTCGCTGCGATTCCTCCCAGGACAAACCTATCAAACTCAAACGATTGCAAGTGAGTTAGCAAGAATACATAAAAACTAGAGAACCGAATTCAAGAAAGGAGCTGCGTTCTCAACAAGATCAGGGGCATTCTGGGACAATCCCAAATCAAATGAAGGAGGATCCATCTACAGATAGACAAAATCGAGAGGATTGAGAAGGAAAAACTATGAAATCCAGAGAAAACCAGGAAATGAGGGCAAACCAGGATTATCAGCTCTCAAGCTGCTCTCGACGCATACAAGCTCCTGCTGCCTTGAGCGCCACAAGAAACTGCTGCAAAATTCCTGAAACACACGGACAAGGAGCAGATCTGGATCAATCTAGTTGCTATGCCTCAGATCTGACCTTGGCAAGCTGCTGCTGCCCTACCGCTGCTGCTGACACCTTGCCGCTACTGCTTTGCCGCTACCACTGCCACTTCTGAGAGAATCCGACAGCCTCACGGCGTCGGCACAAAAAACCCTAAAACCCTAGAAAACATGTTATATATGACTTTTAGCCACGTGTTCTATGTTCATTCGACCGCTCTCATCCTCGAATAACGTTATTCCATGTGTCCGTTAACGGTCTCGCCACAGCTTGTTAAGGCTGTTCCCGGGCACGGGCTTGCACGTTCCCTCCAGAACGCGCTCGCCGGGCTAATGCCCGGCTCGCCCGTTCTAGGCGGGAACGTGCTCACCCTACTTAGGAACTCCTTCTTAACGGGCTGTGGCTCGCCCGTTAACTTGATCCAGCCGTTGGCAGCCGTCGGATCAAGTCAAGCTCTCTGCGAGAATTTTACTGTTGTCAGCCACATTCTGGAGAACGTGGCTGACAGGTACCAGATTCTAGAGAACCCACCTGCCAGCCGCCAGGTTCTGGAGAACGTGGCTGCTGTCATCTAGGTTCTAGAGAACTTGGCTGCCAGTAACCACGTTCTCCAATCAGACGAGATGCAATTGCTTTTTTATTTTTTAATCAAAGTAAGCTTGAATAATTCAAGCTCACTTTGGCTATGACCATTGACTACAATCACACAATTACTCACAGAACAGTGGTGAAATGTGCTAGTGATCGTCGGTAGTGCTAAAGCTTTTGCAGCTCTTGGATCTTTCGCAAGAGCTAAAAGTAGCTCATTGTTGTCAAGATCTACCAAATAACATCAAAAGTTAGAAATAAAGAATTCAAATCAAATAAACTTTAACTTTGTCTCCAGAAATGGATTCCTGCTGCTCGCCATGCTCCGGCATAGGCTCTGGCATAGTCTCGTGCACAGTCTCGTGTTGCTTGTCGTGTCCACCTGAAACGAAGAAAAAACTAAATTGAAAGAAAAAAGGAAAGAAAGAATTTTCTTACCTTTCTGCTCTTCAATCACGTCCAGAACTTGGTGGTGATTCAGTTCCTGTTCGTGGATCTCTTCTCTTGGAGAAGGCTGTTGCTGCCCAGAACCACCTAAAATCGAGAAAAGAGAAAAGTCCATTATAAAGATTATAAAGTTTCTTACCAAAATTTTGTTGTTGCTGCTCACGATTTTGAGTCTGTTGATTGTCATTTCCACCTGAATTGAAGAGTGTTAAACCTACACAAAAAAAAAAAGCTTTGAATTACCAAAAGAAACAAGATGGCAATCTTGAAGATCCAATGGATCTTCATTTAAAGGTTTACCAGCATCATAGCACCATACAATATACTCCGATACTTTCCGAAATTTGTCCTGGTAGTTTTTCAAACGACCAGTATGATCATACCGGTTATACAGAATAGATGACATTGCCATTCTCCTTGCTTTCCCAGAGTGATCGTACCTGTTAAAAAAAGAGGCATTAATGACAAAATGGTTAGCAAAAACCTTACTGTTCCATGTTTTCCACCCTCTTGTGTCCCATCAGCTTCATATAGTCTTTCATTGGAGTGTTGCAAACACTCATAGTTGTAATTGCTAAATGCCGAATATCTTTCGCTGAAAGGCTCAAACCTGGAGAAAAAAAACTATGAGAAAACAAGAAAGCAATTAATTAACTACTTGTTTTTACAGCAACCAATTTTACTACTTTAGAGATCTTATGCTCTCCTATCCGTGCCCTTTGACAGTACCAATTATCAGCCTGTTGAAACAGTCGTTACAAGCCAGGAAAAACGGCCGCTTGTTCAAGCCCCCCCATCACCAACTGCTGGATGCTTATCGAAAAAAAGCTTGAATGCCTTGTAGACTAAGAGAGCAGCTATTTCATAGAGATCCACAGCAGGCCGCCGATCCATGTTCTTACAATTCATCAGATCCACTTGGTAGTTTTTGGAAACACGTTGGTTGAATCTTGTCAGGAATCCCCCAATTCTTGCCACATTCTTGACTCTTGCCGGATTCCTGACCTGCAGACCACATTCCTGACTCTCGAGACACTTCCCTATTCCTGACTCTCGAGACACTTCCCTATTCCTGACTCTCGAGACACTTCCCGATTCCTGAGTCTCAAGCCACATTCCTGATGATGATGTGGTGCCTCCTCGACCTCAGCTATATTTAGGCCATCCTCGATCCAAGAGTGGTGGAGCTTCATCAACCTATAGTATATATAGGTTAGCCTTGTTCTATTTCTCCACAATCTGAATCAACGCCAGTATATGGCCTTTTCTTTGTTTTCACTAGCTTTTTCTCTTTGTCTTTAGCATTTTCCAGCCTTGATCTTGTTGGGGGTCTTGACAGTTTGATTCAGATTGTGGTTTTTGCTTTTCTTTTAGCTCGTTTTGATTATTTGATTGCCTTTGTCTTTTTCCCCCTTTCTTTTCTTTCTTCTTGCCAATGGAGTCTCCAAGCCATCCTGATTTCTTTGCTGAAGTCCTTGCAAAAATCCAATCTGAGAATACCGAGCTGAAGGCGACCCTTCTTCGCATGCAGCAGGAGCTTGCTTCACTTTCGGCTCAAGGATCCAGCAAAGTTCCTGAACCGAAGGTGAGTTTCCCGGCGAAATTTTCAGGCAAGCGTTTGGAGCTTCGTGGATTTTTGAACCAAATGGAGCTGATCTTTGCACTTCAACATCGGCGGTACCCCACTCCCGAGTCTCAAATCGGCGCGATTGGGACGTTGCTTGAGGGTGCAGCTTTGTCATGGTTTTCTCCTCTTCTGGAGAAGAGCATGAAAGGGGTTGTGGTTCCGGAGCTAATGGATCTTCAATTGTTCAAAGAGAAGCTCGAAACATGTTTTGGCAAGATGGATCGGGTTCGGGCTGCTACCACAAAGATGAGACGTCTCTCTCAGGGGTCTTGTCCTGCCTCGATCTACGCTGCAGAGTTCCAACTCCTTGCCTTGGACACTCAGTGGGATGAGCGGGCCCTGATTGACCAATTTCGTTTCAGCCTCAACAACGGTGTCAAGGATTTGTTGCTCACCATGGAGGATCCCAAGGACCTGTCGGATGCCATCAACAAAGCTGTTTGATGTGACAATCGTCTCTTTGAACATCGTTAGGAAAGTCGCCGCGCCGCTGTTTTTTCCGTCCCAGACTCAGGAATCCCAGCTTGAGTCTTCGGGGCATACTCCTAAACCTACTGCTCCGGTTCCGATGGATATTTCTGGTACTCCCCGACTCATTAGAGGGAAGTTGAGTCCTGCTGAGAAGCAACGTCGAATATCTCATAATCTTTGCCTCTATTGTGCTGATCCTAATCACAAAGCAACTGTATGTCCCAAGAAGCCTCCTCGACTGCTCGAGTTCACTCTGCCTCAAAGTCCACCTCTATTGCAGTCGGGAAACGACCCTGTCCAAACAGAGTAGGAGTTGTCTGTTTGGACTCCCCGAATAAAAATCACTTTTCTTCTTTATCAAGCTCCTCACCACCTTTCATCAAAGCCACCACCAATTCCCGCAACTTCCGCGTCCCATGTCTCCTTTCTTTCACCGGACAATCAGGACTCAAGGCTCTGGTGTTACTGGACTCGGGTGCAACTTCCTGCTTCATGGACACGGCCTTTGCTGCCCGACATCACATTCCTCTTTCTCCTACCATACGGGATTTGAGGGTTGAAGGCATCGGCGGGCATTTTGTGTCTCCATCTTCTGGACTTAGGGAAACGTTGCCCGTTCAAGTACACATCGGGTCCACCGTCACCGATATCGGCTTCAACATCATCAACAGCAAGTCCTCCTCTATGGTGCTCGGTCTTCCTTGGTTCCAACTACATCAGCCTCAAATTTGTTAGAAGGAATTATAGCTCATCTCTCCTACGGCTTCCCCTACTGTTCATCGAGTCCGAATCAGGAAAAGTTCCCTAAACTCAAATCGGGGTTCTGTTCTTGACTCTATAAAGTTTTCACCCTCTTCTTTTTCCTCTCTTCCATCTTACACTGGACCGTATCCTCGTCTCATCATTCCATTTAGTCGTATGCCTCCTCCTATCTCCACAATCACTATGAAAGAACTTCTTGATGAAGTACCTCTTTTTCTTTTTGCTTTACATGTTTTTCCTATCAGTCTTCCTGAGAAGTATCATGATTTTGGGGATGTGTTTGACAAGAAAAAAGCTAGTGTACTGCCTGTTCATCGGCCTTATGATTGTCCCATTGATTTACAGGAAGGAGCGTCACCTCCGTGGGGGCCTATCTACGGGTTATCCCCGTCCGAGCTTAAGGCCCTCAAAGAGTACGTGGATGAGAACCTTGCCTCGGGCTACATTCAGCATTCGCAGTCCCCGACTGGAGCGCCTGTCTTCTTTGTCAAGAAGAAGGATGGGAGCTTGCGGCTAGTCATCGACTACCGAAGTTTGAACAAGATGACTGTTCGGAACCGTTATCCGCTGCCCCTGATCTCGGACCTGTTGGAACGTCTCGGCGGTGCCCGCTTCTTCACCAAGATCGACCTCCGTGGAGCATACAACCTGATCCGGATCCGGCCTGGTGATGAATGGAAGACTGCGTTCCGAACCCGCTATGGCCACTTCGAGTACACTGTCATGCCATTTGGCTTGACAAATGCTCCAGCAGTTTTCCAACACATGGCGAACGACATCTTTCGGGAGTTTCTTGATCAGATGGTGATCGTCTACCTCGATGACATCCTCATCTACTCAAAAACTCAGGAGGAGCATGACGAACATGTACGCAAGGTGCTAGCGAAGCTGCGAGAACATGGCCTATACGCGAAGCTTGAGAAATGTTCCTTTGATCAGCAGTCTGTGGAGTTCCTTGGGTACATTGTCACTCCTGAGGGTATCACGATGGATCCTGCCAAAGTCAAGACTATTCTCGAATGGGAGCCTCCACAATCAATGTCAGACGTTCAGGTTTTCCTTGGCTTCGCCAACTTCTACCGCAAATTCATTGATCACTACTCTGACATTATCCTTCCTCTCACACATCTCACTCGCAAGGATGTTCCCTTCTCTTCGTCTGCTGCTGCCCAGCAGGCCTTCGACACACTCAAGGCGGCCTTCAGTTCTGCTCCTATCTTGATCCATGCTGATTCCTCACAACCTTTCTTCATCGAGGCTGACGCCTCCGACTTTGCCATTGGTGCTGTGCTGTCTCAACTCGGAGCGGATCACGAACTTCATCCGGTCGCTTTCCATTCTCGGAAATTCCAGCCTGCGGAGATCAATTACGAAATCCACAACAAGGAGCTCCTTGCCATCGTGGATTCCTTTGGAGAGTGGCACCGTTTCTTGGAGGGGGCAAGCCATCAAACAACAGTCTGGACGGATCACAAAAATCTCGAGTACTTTGCCACTTCCCGAGTTTTAAGCCATCGTCAAGCAAGGTGGGCACAATTCCTAAGTCGGTTTGACTTTGTTATCAAGTACAGATCTGGAAAGTTTCAAGGCCTTTCTGATGCTCTTTCAAGGCGCTCCTATCTCAGTCTCAGGCCTGGTAATCCTGCCTTCGATCAACAGGATCAAGTTATTGTCGGTCCTGATCAGCTTCAAGTTATGGCAATTTCCCTGGCCCCTCAGGACTCCTCCTTGATGGATGCAATCAGAAACGATCTTCAATCCGATGATCTCGCTAGCGATATTTTCCCCCATCTTCAGGCTGGACACCCAGTGACTCCCGACTGCTGGTGATTTGACGAGTTCAAGTTCTTAGATGGTTTATTGTACCGTGGGGAGCAGCTTTACATTCCTGAAGGTGATGCTCGAAGGTTGGTCCTGATGGCGTGCCACAATAGCCCGACTACTGGTCACTTCGGCATTGCGAAAACCTATGAGCTAGTTGCACAGGACTTTTGGTGGCCTCACATGGACGACTACATCAAAGCTTTTGTTACCTCCTGTGACACTTGTGCCCGGAATAAGGTACCTCACCACCTTCCTTCAGGTTTGCTTCGTTCCCTTCCGGTCCCTTCAGGTCCTTGGGAATCCATCTCCATGGATTTCTTGAGTGATCTTCCGAGTTCTGGAGGCTTCAACAGCATTTTAGTCGTGGTGGATCGCTTCACAAAGATGGCGCACTTCTTGCCATGTACCAAGGAGTTTTCGGGCGAGGACATGGCAAAACTGGTATTCAGGGAAATTTTCCGACTTCATGGGATTCCTACAGATGTGGTTTCGGATCGAGGGCCTCAGTTCATCTCTCATTTCTGGCAACGGTTTTTGCAGCTGCTTGGAGTGAAGGCCAACCTCTCTTCGGCATATCATCCTCAAACTGATGGGCAGTCCGAGCGAACGATTCAGACGTTAGAACAATTCTTGAGGTGCTTCATCAACTATCATCAGGATAACTGGTTCGATATCCTTCCTCTTGCTGAGTTCTCCTATAACAACTCTGTTCACTCCTCTCTTCGAGTTTCCCCCTTCTTTGCAAACTCTGGCCAAAATCCCCGATTCAATCTCTCACTTCCTTCTCCATCTGAATCCTCTCGTTCAAATCCCCACTCTGAGGCATTTATCTCCAACCTCCAGGAAATCCACAACTCCATCTCCTTCCACCTCCATCGTGCTCAGGAATCTCATAAAACATTTGCCAATGTCCATCGTCAGGATTGTCCCCTTTACAATATCGGGGATAAAGTCTGGCTCCTCAGGCGAAATATCTCCACCACCAGGCCCTGTCCAAAACTCGATTTCAAACGCCTTGGTCCTTTCCCTATCACTGCCATCATTAATCCTGTCACTTATCGCCTTGCACTTCCCTCCTCATATCAAATTCACCCCGTTTTTCACTCCTCTCTCCTTGAGCCTTATATTCCCAGTCCTATTCCAAATCGGGTCATTCCTCCGCCTCCACCAGTGCAGCTCGAGGATGGGTCTGAGTACGAGGTTCAGGACATCCTTGATTCCAAGATTTCATGGTCTAAACTCTACTATCTGGTGGACTGGAAGGGTTACGGACCTGAGGAACGCACTTGGGAACTTGCGGACAACCTGATTCATTCTCCTGACCTTGTTCAGGACTTCCACCGCCGCTATCCTTCTCGTCCCAGTCCTCATTCTTTTTCTCCATCTCCCATCCCTCATCGCTCATCTCATCCTCCTCTTCGTTCTCGTTCACATCCTCGTTCCACTCGTTCTTGAGAAGGGGGTGCTGTCAGGAATCCCCCAATTCTTGCCACATTCTTGACTCTTGCCGGATTCCTGGCTTGCAAACCACATTCCTGACTCTCGAGACACTTCCCTATTCCTGACTCTCGAGACACTTCCCGATTCCTCAGTCTCGAGCCACATTCCTAATGATGATGTGGCGCCTCCTCAACCTCAGCTATATTTAGGCCATCCTCGATCCAAGAGTGGTGGAGCTTCATCAACCTATAGTATATATAGGTTAGCCTTATTCCATTTCTCCACAATCTGAATCAACGCCAGTCTAAGGCCTCTTCTTTATTTTCACTAGCTTTTTCTCTTTGTCTTTAGCATTTTCCAGCCTTGATCTTGTTGGGGGTCTTGACAAATCTGAGACAAAAAAAATTCTGATTAGAACCGACAAGAACAAAGAAAACAAATAAGAAACTACTCAACTGGATATAGCAACCAACAACATCTTCCAAAAGTGTAAAATCAGTGAATTGCAAGTCATACAATTCCTTCCTCCCACGTACAAGAAAGAAATTCATGCAGAATAGTACAACTAACCAAAACAGTCCATTAGGACTGTTAGGTAGAAACTCTGGCAACGTGAGAATTGCCTTAAGCTCAGCCATCGACAAGTACACATGCTTTGACCCTGTACTTGTTGGCCTTGTAGTTTCTAGTGCTGTTTTTCGAATTACATGGCTAGCAGTGTTCCTAGAATAAACAAACCAAACCAAACATATTAGAACACAAACCACAACAAAAAGAACAAAAAAGGCAAGATACCTTGCTATAAGAAACCTTAAATCATTCAGGATGTCAACTTCTTCTTCTAAAACTCTTGTTCTTGCAACTCGGGCTTCTCTTGCCAGCTTCAATACTCGGTTAAAGCAAAAAAACATATCCCTCAGAGTTGTTGGAGGGTAAGGCTTCCCATCGTCTCTCAAAACATGCTTGTAGAACAATGCAAGCTGGTGGGAAAGCTCCTACAGTCAGAGAAAGATGTAGTCACAAAAATCAAAAGAAAAAATAAGAAACAACCTTTGCAGGAAGTTCCTCAATCAGTCTCAGATCCTGTAAGGAAAATTCTGGGCCCTGTGCCTCGTGCCATGCATAAAACTTCGATGTTGCCTACTCATACTTCTTTCAGGTCCCTGCTGGTATAACCAGTTCCAATGGATTCTCATCCTCCTCATTCGAACAATTGGTTGAAAAGGTTGGCGGCCAACCTGCATCAACAAACAATTTCAACCTGGAGTATCTAAGCAAAAAGCACTTACCTCTCTCCGACCACGCCGACCACGCCCACCACGCCCACTGCGATTCCTCCCAGGACAAACCTATCAAACTCAAATGATTGCAAGTGAGTAAACAAGAATACATAAAAACTAGAGAACCAAATTCAAGAAAGGAGCTGCGTTCTCAACAAGATCAGTGGCATTCTGGGACAATCCCAGATCAAATGAAGGAGGATCCATCTACAGATAGACAAAATCGAGAGGATTGAGAAGGAAAAACTATGAAATTCAAAGAAAACCAGGAAATGAGGGCAAACCGGGATTATTAGCTCTCAAGCTGCTCTCGACGCACACAAGCTCCTGCTGCCTTCAGCACCACAAGAAACTGCTGCAAAATTCCTGAAACACACGGACAAGGAGCAGATCTGGAGCAATCTAGCTGCTATGCCTCAGATCTGACCTTGGCAAGCTGCTGCTGTCCTGCCGCTGCTGCTGACGCCTTGCCGCTACTGCTTTGCCGCTGCCGCTGCCGCTTCCGAGAGAATCTGACAGCCTCACAGCGTCGGCACAAAAAACCCTAAAACCCTAGAAAACATGTTATATATGACTTTTAGCCACGTGTTCTATGTTCATTCGACCTCTCTCATCCTCGAATAACGTTATTCCATGTGTCCGTTAACGGTCTTGCCACAGCCCGTTAAGGCTGTTCCCGGGCACGGGCTCGCACGTTCCCTCCAGAATGTGCTTGCCGGGCTTACGCCCGGCTTGCCTGTTCTGGGCAGGAACGTGCTCGCCCTACCCAGGAACTCCTTCGTCGTCGATAGACCATCATTTCTCGCTGTTTTTCGGTGAGATATTTCGAATAAAAATATCTCACTGTTGCAGGATATTTTGAATTAACTGCTAGGATGAGGCGATCGTCTCGCCCCTCGATCGATGCATATCGGTCATGCGTTCGTCTAGCTCATCGGTCAACCCAAGCTAGAGATCTTTAGCTGCCTTTCCGAGCATATCTATAGTGTGCATTTCTGGCAATGACGTGACTCCACCAAGCGCTCTAATCTTTCTTCCTGGATCATCGCTTCATCGATCATGACTGTCGTGTTTTTGGCCATTATAGATTATAGAAGGACGAGGACACTAAGCAGGAGCCGCAGCCTCCCAATGTTCCTGAGGGAAGCGCCAGCGCCAGCACCGTCCGGCGAATCGCAGCAGCCAGAAGCCAATGAAGCCGAGAAGAATCCCCCAGATTGGTTCAAGCGAGAGATAAGAAAAAGGTGAGAACTCCTCTATTTTCTTTGTTCATGGTCTTGTTCTTGTTCTTCTTCACCGTGGAAACTTTCCAGGCTAGACACAAATGGGAAATCCTCTTCTTGCTGACGACGAGTTGATCGACCGCCTCTCAGATTCCATCTCTTCCTCCTCGCCCTCACTGTTGAGCGTAACTTTGAGATATCCTTCCGCCATTTTCTTCAGAGAACGACAATGGCCCTTGAGAATGAAGGAAAACGATGAAAGGCTTAGAAACTTTTGTTTTCGTTTCGCAATCAAATTCGCACACGGAGATGCTTTCTTTCCACTTCCGGACATCTCGTTCCAGGAGACGCTCCAAGTGTGGATTCTCTCCGCCTCTGCAGATGCCTGGCCTGGGCGCGCGCCGCCGCGGCCAGGTTCCAGGGAGACCCCGTTGTACTGCAGCATGAGATCCAAATTTCACGGATGGCACTAAGATCGCCGTCCAAGAAACTACGCTAGGCCCGGCGTTTCGCTCAAACGCGTTCTGCGCATACTCTGGATGCCCTGTTTGGGAAAATGCCGACACCACGACGTCGCGGAAATTGCATGGATTCTATCAAATGCGTGCTATGGATTGGGGATGAATTCCAAGATAAGGAAGCTCCAAGGGAAGATATTGGAGGAAATGATCCCATGAAAGGCATTGAGTGCCCTGTTAGGGCTGGATCAAGGGGTTTGAGAGGATCTAAAGCCACTATGATCCACTCCCTGGAAAATCAAAATCCTAGAGGGAAGGTCGAGATTATCGCTGTTTTAATTCAATTATAACCGTTCGATTATCTGCGATTGAATGTGGAATTCTGAGGCCTGACGCGGGCTACTTCTTGGAGGCAATCTCAAACACATAAAACCCATTGCTTCCATCAAATGCCTCTCCACCCAGCCATAGTTCCATGGAGGAACTATGCTGTCGCTGGCATAAGCCACAATTCATCAAAGTCGGAATCCCGGTAAGATTGCTGGTGTCATGTTTGGAAACAAGAATCCAAGGGAAGATCGTGGGGCCATCTCTCCCGTGGATAGAGGTTAAAGGAACTTCATCATCATCCTTGCCTTCCACGGAATGCTCCATTGCGAGAGGAATTCTATTGTTGTCTGGTCTATCCGGGTTAGACCAGACTCCCACGTTCCCTGGGCTCTGTGAGAATTGGAATCCATGATGAATGAGACATCGCGATCTTGGGCGCGATGGTGTGTTATCCAACAAGCTTGTGCTTGGGCATTACATTACACACGATGGATGTGGAGGAGAGCGAGAAGGAGAAGTGGAGACGCGATCCAGGTTAACAATCCCTCCTCTTCTTCTTCTTCTTGTTCATCAGACTCTTTTAGAAGACTATAAACCCAAGACCAAAAAAAGAAAGAAGTTCTCTAAGGAGGAAGAATAAGAAGATATGTGGTGAAAATGGCCGAAGCTCGAGAGAATGCAAACTTTAGAACTTTCGTTTCGTTCAGCAATCAAATTCGCACACGGGGATGCTCTTTGTCTAAAACAAAATAAGCCAGTTTTAATGCAAGCTTATCAGAGTCTCGCAAAATAAACTGGCAAATGTCGAGGAGCACGCCGGCGAATCGCAAAAGAATTTAAGAAAGAGTTTAAAGGAAAGTCCATGGAGAGAAGTTCCTTGTCCGCCTGCTCTGCGAGGGGAGGTAATTCTGCTCCTTGCGTCCATGTGTTCTCAGTTCTCAGTTGTCTTTGTGGCAGCTTTGGCAAGTGCACTTTCAAATAAAAAGTCACATCTTAGATCTGGAAACAAGGTTTTGATACATGCCCAGGCCAATAAGACTGCTTCCCGATTTCAGGACCATGTTTGCACAAAGACAAGGAGAGTTGGACAACTCCCCTCTCACATGATAAGTATTTGAACCAAATTGTGATAGTTTTAGGTGTAGGGCTTACCGCAAGCTTTTCCTGCTCGGTCGAAACGCATTACGGCATACGCATAATCCTACTGATTTGACTTGTCCTAAGTAGTGAATACTTGCAGGCCATGAATTTTTTGCTTATGCCGGAGGAGAATGCGTTCTGGTATGTTCAGCTCTTTGAATTTCGATTTATAAGTTGAGTTATTATGCATGTGTTAGACGAGTACTTCTCCAAAAGGCTTTTAGAAGCACAGGTTTTTAAATTTGAAATCTTGGTATAACAGAAATTTTCAGGTGGACCAACTTGCCTTTAGTTTCCGAGGCTAAGTACTTGTTTGTGCTTGGGGTGTTGAGGCACTTTTACAGTTTCGCCATTTGGAATCCCTTGGTGTCCAACATCTTGGATGAGTTCCTATATATATTTGTGAGCGTCCTACCCTGGGAAAGTGGTCAGTACAATTTACATGCATCTCCATTTTCCACTTGCTTTTGCAGTTTTGAGAGTATGGGATGTATCTTGCTCTTGCTCTTTTGGAGCTGCATGGTTAGAATTTGCTTTCTGTATGCAGTATCAGCGTTATTAATCTGTCTCAGCTCCTGCTCTTGTGACCTCACGTGATGCTGGCCATTGTATCTCTGTGATGCAAACACTGGCCGGTGAAATGTTTGATAGCAGTCAGCTTGTCTTGACCGCTTAGTTTGCAAGGCGCTCAAGCTCTCAAGGAAATTTAGCTCATTGACGACGGAAATGACCAGCAGAAATCATTTCCAAGTGAGGTGAAGAAGTAAACAAGGAAGACAAAGAAATTAGAGCGAAGGATCCTGCTGACTTGGAGGAGCAACTTTTCCTACCTTTTTTCTTACTAACTGTTCGTGGTGTTTAGGTTGCAGTCTCGGGGTCGAGGAAATGAAAGAAGAGGTGAGTGCCTGTTTAGATTTTGCCAAGGGTGCTTTTTAGATATTGTCAAAGAAGATAACCGGCGTGGTTCATTAATTTCAGCTTCTCAGGCTTTGAACCTACATACGAGCTGCAGTGAGATTTAATTAAAACTTGGATCTCTCAACCCTTGCAGACAATTCTATCCTGCAGTACGCGGCCGGACAGACTGGAAACCTCTGGCGCCAGAAGGAGGAGCGGCCTTCCAAATGGTCCTGGCGTCTTTCCTCGCCCTGACGTAAGTGCATGCTACGCCAAAGACACAGCACCACCAGGCTTCGAAAACGAAAGAAGAGAAGACAGGCTTGGCACCCAAAGAGTTAGTGGAAGGAGCCTCGAGAAAGGAAAGTCTTACACTGTCCAGTTCCTGACGGCGTAGTGTAAATCAAGAGGGTATCGAATTTGATGGCGCTCTCGATATAGATCGTGCCGCTCCGGTGAGATCGTAGCACCGATAGGCAGTGAATCGATCAAGACGAGGCAAGCGCATGCCGGGATGGAGATCGTACTTGGTGGAAAGCAAACAGAGTAATGTCGTAAACAAAGAAACTGGCAAGCGTGGCAGAATAACAACCGTGGATGTCTAACTACCAAGACACAGGAAGAACCGCCAAGGAAGACTTCCTCTTCTCGGCTTGCAGAGAGGGGATTCCATCGGTCATGGTGGGGCACAAGGTTTGAAAAGTCTACCTCTGGTTGCGGCTCAAGAACTCTAGAGTCTTATGTGTTCCATGCTGGTGGCGCAAATTTAGAAAAGACGATATGCAGATCACTTCTGCCAGTAAGAAGCGGCAGGAACAAATCTCGTCTCGTCTTGGCTGGTCGCTTTCACAACAACGAACGCAACGCAGCGCGCTCAAAGATCGAGCGCAAGATCAAAATGCATACCCATGCACGGCGAGCTGGACAGAGTAGAGGTCCAGGCAGAAGGCAGGCGGTGCCGCAGCAGGAACATCGTTGCCGAAAAACTACGAGGACAGCAACGGGACCGTGTACCGCGGCATCCATGGTTGCACACAAATTTCATCCATGCTCTCCACACCGCTCCAGCGCTCGGGATTTCCAGGCTTAAATCCCGCGACTTGAAGCGTAGTGTCGGTGACTGTCTGGAGGTACTCCGCGTGAGGTCCAAAAGAGTAACCGTAGCGGGGTGCGGGTGCTCCATTCGCATCTCTCTCGCAAACGACACACAGCATGCGGTCCGGGCTGTGATCCCATAGCTTCAATCCTATGGAAAAGTTCACCGTGGGCGAGTTCCGAATGAAGTCCGTGCAGCGCCTTAGAAGACCGCTAAGTGACTGAGAATCAGAGACTTCGCAGATGCCAGCCGGGGCAGCTGCCCGCCTACCATTCGGATTCACCTTGTAAAAGAGCACGTCAGGCTCCTTTCTTGTGTTGGGAGGGCGCAAAGTTTCCACTGTTGTGGCGAATGGTCTTGAGACG